CAGGCCAACTGCCTGGCAATTTCAATATGGCTGCCTCCATGAATATTCCATTAGCACTCGCACGCTGAACGATTTCGGTGGAATTATTTCGTCCTTTCAAACTGAAAGTGAAAATGAGGAAGAAACCAGACACGAGGAAAGGGAAAGGGAAAGGGAAAGGAAGAGGAATAGGAAGGATATGAACTATTAATGGATCACTGCTGAGTAATTGGTGAATGAAACGTTTCTGAAAATTCACAGTTTTATTGTTTTTTTAAAGAGTTAATTTGAAATCTGTCGATGCATTTATTGGTAAATTATTATTTTTCACCGGAAAGAAGTGATGAAGGACTTGTTGGAAAAAGTTTCAGTAGCGCGGATATGGAAAAAGGGCGTATGTGCATAAACACTTTCAAGCCATGTGAGACGAGGAAATTAATTAAAACCCCAAGTTCAATTGGAAAAAGGTCCAAGAAAACATTTCACAGAAAACTGAGTTTTGACTAGTTGCAGATCGGCTATGGGAAGTTTTCCTCGTTTATTCCGAATTGCATCTTTTGCACGTACGCCCTTTTTACTCCAGAGAACTCCTCGATCGTTGAATCCGTGGACACAGACGGAGTCCCGTTTTCTCGTGGTTTTGTTTGTCCGGTCGCTACGAGAGGATTCCCCGCGACCACGTCCTCCGCGGAAGCACCGAGCCGAGACGGACGGAACCTCCTCGATCAAAAAAGATCGTCGATTCCTACTTGCTAGGCATCATTTCGCCGCATAAAACACGAGCGAATGGAGCACATCTCATCTCGATTCGTCGGTCTACCTTCGCGGCTCTTCCAGCCTGCCTCAACTCGGGAGACGAAACCCTTCGGGTTGTTTTCTCTCGGGGGGGAAGGGATCGGACGGGGAAAGAAACTAGGACAAATCCTCTCTGATGCGTTCCAGTATTGACGCCTGAAGAGGGGAAGAGAACTGCTGAATCGAAAAAAAAAAAAAAACGTGCCACCGGCGACGATTCAGAGGCACGACCCGTCGCTTTCGCGATCTGGTCTGGTTTTCAAAATATCGTTTTGATTAGGAGTCTCGCTCCGATTCTCTTAGTCACTTTTTCTTGGACACCACCGACTTATCCCAAAAAGGAAATTCAGGAAAATGTCCCGGAATTACCTGTACTGCGAAGAAAACTTGCTGTTCGTGAATGAGAGGGGGAGAGGTCGCCGCGAGGAAGGCGCAATTCAACGATGAAGAATTTCCTCGCAAAAGAAATTCCTGAAGCAATGATACTTCGACGTGGGAAATCTGAAGGTGCAAAGGACGAAAGTGAACATTGTTTCCTGGAACAATCGCCTGGTCTTACTCAAAAACGACCACTTTTACCCGGACCTTCCGACTCTACACTGAAAATTCTCCCGTGTCCTCGACGAAGGAAAGCATCACGCCCACGAAGTCGTCGCTCGTCTGACGCGTTGGTGGGGGCGCGCAAGTCGTTTCGTGTCGGTTTGAGCCGTTTCTCGCCTGGGGATCCGGGTCGTCGTTCCCCTGACCTTGTCGTCGACACGAACGTGGGCGACGCCGGACGGTAGTGGGATCTCTCGAGCCGGCGGGAGCTCTTTCTATTCGACGTTTCCCACCGCTTTCGTTCGACCGCATTTCCGGATCCGATCCGTCGACGCGTCGAGCGAGGAAGAGAGCAAAGAGAAGAGGAAGAGAGGAAAGAGAAGAGGAAGAGAGGAAAGAGAAGAGGAAGAGAGCAAAGAGAAGAGGCAGAGAGGAAAGAGAAGAGGATGACTAGCGAAGCCGAGGAGGCATCGATGCGGAGCGAGACATCTGAAGGCGGGGATGCCTGGCCCGCAGCGAAGGATGTCCAGCCGTCAGCAGGAGGCCCAGAGAAGAGGGGAAAGGAGTCGTGGGAGGAGACGAACGAGGAGTCCGAGCCGCCCCCGCTTCCGTTCTCGTTCTCCGACTCCCCGTGTTCGCGGGACGAGTCTGCCCAGCCACGGCCGACCTCGCCGTCGCAGGCCGACGTCTCCGGACTCTGTCGGTCTCGCGGGAGTCCCGAAATCCTCGAATCGTCTCGTCTGGTGACCCACGTCGACGTCCCCCTTCGCCCCGCGACGACCCAGAACGCGACCCTCACCGCAGCTCCGACTCCAAGTTTCCACGATCCCAACGGATCGAGCCCTCGACTCCGACTCGGCGCTCACTCGATCCAGATCGTCAACTTGCCGTCTCCAAACGACGACAGCAGTACGACCACGCTCTTAATCAGGGGAATTTTGCCGATGACCACGGACTTGGAGGTGAAGCTGTACTTCGAACGATACTTCGGTCCCGTCTCGTGCATCTCGATACCCAGGAACACGAGCACGAGCATGTCCATGGGATACGGGGGCGTGACGTTCGCGAGGAAGAAGACGGCCGACGACGCCCTTCGATACCTCTCCGGTCTCGGATACAACATCCGACGACCCTGTCACCCGGAACTGGACGAACACAACGTGTACATGGCCAACATCCCCGACGGTCTGACGGAAGAGGAGCTGACGAACATGGCATCTTGGTTCGGCTCCGTCGTCTCCACGAGAATCCTCTACGACAGGAACATCGGCTTCGTCCGGTAGATCACACTCCCTCGTTTCGAATTACCTCGGTCGAGCCGCCCGACGACGACGACGACGGCGACATCGAGATGTCACCTTCGTATTTAGGATGGCAGAGGCGACGTCGTGCGTGGCCCTCGTTCGTTCGTGGAACGGGAAGCAGATGGCAGAGAGCAGGATGCCCTTGCAGGTGCGACTGGCTTACAGGGGAAAGAACCGCACGACCGTGTCGTCGGACGTCCCGGGAACGCGTTGGGTGTCCGGTGAGGATTTCGATCGCCGTTACCACGGACCGGAAGCGTGCCGTCTCGCGGCTCCCCTCTACCCTCCGAGCGTGACGGCCGAGGGAGACGATGCAAACGCATGGACGTCGTCCGAGGCCCCGGCCGCGGTCCATCCGGGTCCCGTCTCGGAGAACGTGCATCCTCGAGGCAACCCCTGCGGCGGGGCGAACCGTCGGGCGACTGCGGAAATGCACACCCGAACGCTACCGGATTTCCTCATTCAGACTTATTACACGGTGGAGTCGAGGGCTGCTCCCTCGGCAGCTGCGTCCGTTCCCGTCGGTGGCACCTGTCGACTCGGTGCCTCCTTGGAACACGCGTCGGAACGCGAGAACGCGTCTCGGCTCCTCTGGATCCCGTCGCACCACGGCTACACGCCGTTTGTCGTATTCCAGGACCGACCCCCGATGCTGGGGGTTTGGAACGACGAGACGAACGCGTTCGACGGGTCCCCGTACTTCGGCTACGTCACCGACGGCGCGACGTCCTTCGACGCCTCGGACGCGAGCCATCACACGACCGTGGCCGTGGCTGCCGAATGACTCTGCGTCCGCCTTTTCTCGTTCCGTTTCCCGTCTCTTCTTGTCCCATCCCTTTCGCGCAGATCGACGAAGGCGCCGAGCCGATCGTCTCGACGATAAAATGGAAATCTTCATGTAACTTTGTTTTCTTTACACCGTACACAAATCCCAAGCCCCCCCGTGACACACTCGACTGAGAGGGCACGAGCCGACGAGATAACAGAACTCGTGCATAGAATGGCAAACAGAAACCAGACGTTCCGATTACTTCACATTTTCGAGTGAAAACGATTCGCAGTGGCAATAGGACCGAGCTTATCTCGAGAGGTATACAGGTGATCGTGAGAGTGCGGAACGGAAAAAAAAGTGACGGAGATGACACTCTCGATACCTGTCGCACCTCAACACGAATCCCGTCAACAATGCTCCATCGAAATTAACATCAGGAAATTTTTTTTCGGCATAAGCATCGTAGCGTCACCGAAGTCCCTGCTTCTAACGTTTCGATCTGCGGGCGATCGCATCATGTCCAGCGCAATTCAGAACAAACTCGAAGCACCGAAGGCGTTGACCGATCTGCGCGTATTTCTTCGATGCGCGATCGACGGCCTGATCGCCAAGGAACTGCCATGCAAATTGGAGCAACTGAGCAACCTCATCGATGATTCCAGCCTCTTCGCCCTGAAAGACGAGCTCCCCGATTTCGACTGGACTCCCCGCACCTCGAAGGGCGGGGACCTTCACCGGGTGAGTTCCACCTTTGGTATTCCTTCCACGTCCTCTCGGATCGTGGTCGCATGAATGGGACGGAACGGCGCGCGATGGGAAGGCAGTCGGGATCTCAGGTTTCTTGGTGGCGATCTGTGGAAAGAGGCAAAGAGGAGAACCCCATTCCGAAATTGGACTCGAGTTGGGACGATTTGGATGGAGCCAAGCCCGGTGCCGTGAAGGAACCTCCGTTGGAACCATCTCTGGTCGAAATGGGTGCCGTCCTCGAGCCCCTCTTGAGAGACCTCAGTGAGCATGCCGGTATCAGAGGAACCAAATTCTCTTCCCTCGATTTTTTCGTTGGCTTTGTAGCAGGTACTCTACACCTTCCGAATGTGTGTTGTGTGCGACACCGGCCGACAGGGCTCCTGAAGCTGTGGTTGAGCCTCCTGATACCCCGGATGGAAGACGGTAACAATACGGGTGTTGACATCCAGCACGAAGTCCTCGACCACATCGCTCAGGTGGAGAAGCTCCAAGACGAATTTTGGGCGTTCACCGTGGTCTACCACCGGTCTCGGGCCAAACTCATCTCCAAAGTCTACAAATACCCCTTCATCCCCGAGTACCGGGTGTCCGTTCGCCAGACGGACGAACAACAACGAAGGACGATGAGAGGCCTCCTTTTGGAAGCTCGCCATTCCTACGCCTCTCTCCTGGATGTCATCATCAAGAACTACGAGAAACTCACCGTCCCCCGTTCTGACAACGCTCACACGATGTTCTAACACCCTCTTCTTATTTTCCAGTACAAGAATTCGACATTCACTCATACGGTGCGGAACATATCCCACAGAGTACCTCTTTCCTCTCCAAACCTAGAAATGTTCTAACAGCGATAAATCATGACATTCCTTTTTCCAGGAATCTTTATTTTTCTGAATCACCTAATACACGAAATAAATAGAATTGCTCCCTGTCGGCTGAGTTCAACCAACATTCACAAATGCACTCAACGCAATCACCATACTATCATCTTTCACGACATGAAACAGGAGTCACACATTCTCAAGGGATAAGCGTCTGGGGGAACAAAAACTGAAAATAGTTTTCTGGATACTGCTCTCCACGTTTTTGTGTTTGCGTCCTTGTAAGCGTTCAACATGAAATTTAACATTTTCCAAGTAATGGAATGGAGGTGAGAAATTCACATCCACTTTTCATAGTGAACTGGGTAAATCCCAGCCCAATCTTTGGTATACGTGGGTTACAGGAACCCCTGATTTTACTCTCAGGGATTTAAAAAAAAATCAAGAAAATAAAGACTGCTACATATTATATACAACACTTAAGTCAGCTTGTACTTCCATCTGTTATGGTATGGGAATAGAGGTGAAAAAAGCTGTCACTGGGATGACTGAATCAAAATCAAAAGAACTTTGCGACAGTGAAGTCATATATACATCAAATGTCTGAGGTGGGTTCTGTTGCACTGGGACATGGGCATTCAACAGCAAATTGTGTAGCAGACAGGAACTTGAAATCGACTCTTGCTGAGATTATCAAATGTACGACAGAAAAAGATAAGATCCAAGAGACATTTGGAGAGTGGAATCAACAAAGACTGCTCTTCAGTTCAGAAAGCTGAGCCATATCAGGGAAGGTATAACAATCTGAGGATGAGGCATGGAGATCCCCGTTGGAGTTGCCGTTCGGAGATGAAGGAGCATCCGTACCAGAACTCCCTCCGCTCATATTCCCATTGGATCCCGTGGGGCTGGGCGTGGAGGCTGTGATCATGCCGTTAGTTCTGGAGGCATGCAACAAGTATCGGTCCTTCAAATGAGTCAACATGGCCAACAAGCGGGAATTGGCAGCGTCAAGAGCATGGATCTTCTGTTCTTGGGCTTTGATCACTTGCTGCTTCTCGTTGATCATGGATGCCATCTCGTGCTGCTCTCTCCTCAACTCCTCCTCCACTGACAAAAGCCTGACACAACACACAAATACCATTCAGTGCCTTCAAACCATTTCTCTAAATTTCATAGAAGTATAAGACTGACAGCCCTAGCTCTTATTACCTGGAAATGATCTGCTTCAACTGAACATCCCGTTCGCTGTCGAGTGAGATTCGATTGGCGACATTGAGTGGAGTGGTGGTGAGATGGCCATAAGTATTCGAACGCCATTCTCCAGGCTCATCTGGGCTTCGCGTCATTCGGTGCTCAGCTGCACTCAATTTTGACTGAAGCCCTTCCATCTGTACACGAAGGTCGGCTATCTCATGCTCGTACTGGATTACAAGAGCGAGAGGATACAAACATCTTCCAATCGCCAATATAACATCGACTGCTCTGTGAAATAGAGCAGGACCACTTACATCGTCAAGCGATTTCGGATCAGAAGAGAGATGATGGGCATTCCTGGAGGCAAAACCGGCTCCATTTGAAAGCTTCCTCCGATTTTCTCCGGAATCATCGGAGTCTTCATCCCAGCCATTGCTAGCATTTATCCGACTCCTTGGAATTCCTTCCCCGGATATGCATTCTGTTGACACTCTCTTGGCCAGCTTCTGTCTCCTCCTAGGTAACTCTGCAGACAATCGAAACCAATTAACGGAGTAGAAAGCTCAATGCGACGGAAAGAAAGAGAAGATGAGGCCAGGAATGGAAACTCACCAGGAACAGCAGGAGGTTGTGTCTGTGGTGGAAAATGAGTGAGACCGACGCGAGGGGAGCGCTGGATGCCAACGCGAGGATTAGTGCGAGGGGCGAAAGACTTGAACCTCCTTTCTCGTGGAGGGGTGTCCAGGCTTCCACTCTCTTCTGACGACGTGGATAGCTGCTGGAGGACGGCTGGGCTCGGCCTCGGGATTCGCAACTCCTCCACGCTGTGAGTGCTGCTCAAGCTGCTCGACGGGCTCCCCTTGTTTCCCATATGGTACATGGGATTATTGAACGCCAATGCGGAGCGGTGTGCGTAGGAGGGCTGATCCCGGAGGACATATTGTCCGTGGCCGTTCACCATGATCCCATCGCCATGATTGACTCCAGGATCTACAGGACTGGAACTCTCATAGGCGAAGCTTTGGTATCCGGACGAGGCCATGTTCGACAGTTGGGATATGGACAACTGACTTCCACGCGTGTTCCCTGGCTCCACATCACCGCTCGAGTTCCCGTTTTCATTCGCTTCATCGATGTACTGAACGACGTTAAGATACTCGTCACCGGCACTCCCGTTCCCGCGCCTTACTGGCTTATGATGATGATGGTGATGGTGATGACCGTGAAGTACGCCGTTGGCCTTCGAATGATGGAACGATGCATTGGTGTTCTCAAGAGCACTAAAGAGCACATAATCATCATTCGTATTCAGGTCCTTGGCAACCTTCTTCCCACCACCCAAAAGGTAGGTGCTTCGAGGCAGGGTTGCTGAACGCCCCATCGGAGATCCTGGTGGGTTGTGGTTGTTGTTCAACTCTGACGTTGCTCGAGGAGTTCCCGGACCGGGGCTCCGCTCTCTATGGACTGTCGGGTCGTTGTACCTGAAGATGTTCCTCTGCAGGCTTTGAAAGCCCGGGGTAGAGATTTGTCGAAGGAGATTCATGTTAGGCTGGTTGAGAACCGCCGAAATTCGGTCCAGGATCCCTTTTAACTGCTCCACGTCTCCCTCGTACACCGACAACTCATTCAGCTATAGGTCACCAAATATTTAAAAAGGCATACATGAGTCTTGCATAAAAATGATAAATATAATCATCGTGTAGAAACGGACCTTAGAACTGATTTTTGGGATGCACTCCGACAGGAGTGTATGGAGGAGGGAAAGATGCTTCCCTAAATCGATGAAGCCATCAAATTCAGGACACCGGGTATCTTTCGATAAGGGACTCTGCATTGAAAGACACGAAATCGTAAAAGCAAAAATCATTTTGTTATTTGCGGATCCCTTGCCTTCAATATAAAAAACTGTGAACTTACAGAGATTTGCTTAAGGAATGTCCTCATGGCAGGTGCTTCCCTTTCTAGGAAAGGGTTCAGGAATTCCATGAAGCTCTCTTTGCTTTGAAAATGAGTGAAGTTCGCCAGGGTTTGAAGAGTCTTCGCGATGAGTGTCAACTTGCGAGAAGCTCGCTCGTCCGGGTATTCTGCAGCGAAAACGCAGACAGAAATCGATTGATCACTCATTACTCTCTATAAGCAAAAATAAAAGTTACGAAGGTGTTGCGACTCACCTTGGGAGAGATTAAAGAGGGAAGGGGAGAGGATCGCAGGGCAGAGAAATCGAAGGAATATCGAAGCACTGAGGAGGTGATCACTCAGTTCCTCTTTCCCGTGAGCACTCAGCCTCAATCGCAATGTTGCGAAACAATCACGCAATTCCCTACAGGGTCGAAAACATGACTGGTTCAACGGCCGATTCAGTTGTTGAATATCGATGAGGCTGTGTCTGATGAAGCCTCAGGGAACTCACACAGGGAAGAAGGCGTAGGAGTTTAGAATCCGGTTCCAGACCATCTCGACGGCCTGGAAGAGGGCACTCTGATTCCTCTGGAGACATTGCTGGCTTGACACTTTCAGGGGATCCACCTCACAATCCTGAAGCAGAGCCTGGCCTTGAATGAGGACTCCAATGACTTCCCTCAGCGTCTGCTGGAGGTACCTCTCTCCAACCAACTTCATGTACCCTTCCATCGCCTTCGTAGCCAATGAGTTTCCTCGAAACGTCAGGTGCTCGTCATCTGCACAGACGGCAAGTCCGACAACATGCAAATCGACAGGATGGAGACAAGGAATATTCTGAAAGAGAGAAAAAACGTTGATGGGTTTCCATACTGACCCACACGAAGAATGTCGAGGAGAACGAGATCAGCGAGGAAGCTTTGAGCCCGGCCTTGACATTGCATCAACGACACTAAACAGGTGGCCACATCTTCCTTCGCCCTCAGGCTTATCATTGGCTCCAACATCTCACACAAAGATCCGGAATTCCTCTCCAGGTACTAAAATGCAGATCCAAAGCGTATAGCCTCCTTCTTTTAAGCCCGTGGATGGAATAAGGCACCACACTCACCTCGAGGAAATCCCTATAATGATCGAGGGGAAGGACATCGATGGACTGATAACGACATTTGACTCGAAGAGCTGGGGGTTCTTTGCTCCCACTGCTTTTCTCCGTGTGCACCGTGTACCACTTCTCGATCAGGTATCGTGAATTCACCGTGTGAATCGGAATCGTCACCATCCCTAAGTGCATCCACACAAGTATCACTTCACCGCTCGCGCATCGAACGATAGTCATGTGAACCAGAGCAAGATAAGTGCCCTTACCTAGGAGGATATTCTTGTCCTTCCTCTTCTTTTTGTCGGCTTCTCGGTAAAGCTGAATGGTGACGGAATGGATGTCGGGGAGGTGCTCGAACTCGAACTGCTCCCCCCAGAAGCATATGTCCCCTTTCGGCTTGGAGGACGTCCGTGCATACAGCTTCTTATCCAAGTAAAGTTCCACGAAGTACCTCTTCTTTACGGGAACGTTCTTCACCTCTAGAATCCACATCCTGAGGGAGTTCTCCGTCCGCCGAAGGTGATCAGCGTCCGGCGAGATCGTTCTCCTCAAGCTGGCATCAATCATCTCATTCATTCCAGATGCTCCGTCGACATAATATTCGCAGTTCTAACCAAGAGATCGCATAGAACTAGAGCATCTAACCTGTGGACCCATCGATCCCGTTCAGTGGCAGTACGGCAAGCGTAATATGAAGTGCCTGAAGTGGAGGAGAGCCGGAAACAATGCTCCTGTCCAAGTACAGATGGGTGCAAAGGATGAACTTCTTGAGGGGTTTCACCCCCGCTCGCACTAGGACCCAAATCCACCGAGGATATCATGGCTTGACTAGAAAGCAGGGACTCGTGCGATCGAGACGTCCGAAGTCGATTCGGTCTCATGCTATAAATGGAAAAAATCGTATGTGAATACATCGACTTCTTCCCCTCGGGGGTTCCGTCAATACCGCGCACTTTCCGCAGTCGATGGCTCCCATTCAAGTGAGCGATACATTGACGTGTTACGGCAATCTCGTTATGGAAAAACGATGTGGCAACCTCTTCCAAGAAAGAAACTCAAACAAGGGAATGGGGCACATGATTTACCTGTCTCCATCGATGGAGCACTTCTTTCTTTCCAATTTCGTCACGCTCTTTGTCCTCTTCAGGGGGTTTGTCTTGAAGGATCGCTTGGAGAAGAAATTCTATCGATACGAGAGAACATGTTGCATTGTAACATGACCACCATCACATGGAATATCATCAGGTTGCGAAAAAATGAGCTGAAGATTGAAATCAAGCTTACCACCAACTTATTGGAAGGTGGCAGCTCCATGTTGCGACTCCCGAGGATCGGAGTAGCCGGAGCACTTCCTCTCCGGTCTCCTCCACTGCAGGCCTTCTCGTAGGAAGTGTCTGCACCGGAATAAAATAAATCCGCTTCAGTTTACCCCATCCTGACTCTTCACTTTGATGGCAACGTTTAATCAAAATTGTCTGGGCAAAGGCAAGATTTACAGATTCAATGAAATCACAAATAAGGTACATCAGACGCAAGTAACTGGCAAGGCAAGCTTTTCTCCAAGACCATGTTACGGGCAAGAACAGACTATTTCTATCGTGGAGTAACAAAAGCGTCAAGACGCCTCATCCCTTTTCTCCTCGAAGACACGTGCACATGGGCAAAAGAAAGATAATTTCCAGAGAAGTCGGCATTCGGATTTCCGGTCCAAGACGCAGCTCCGAAAAGGGGAGGGCGTGCCTAAATGGGTTGCTCGGGTTGGGCAAACAAACCAGCTGAAAGCACGCTCAAGCGTCCCCAAGAACAAAAGCAAACGAGCCAAAGATAGTGATGAGGCAGGAACTGCGGAGAAACAATGAGGCATATAGAAAATAAGCAATCTTGACGGAATGGTGACACGGAACCAGGGCACGTTTGGCATGCACGCACCTCATTGAGGGAAGTGACACGGTCGCGGATCACTTCTTGGAAATGAACTCACGCGCCGAAGGGAATATCAGCAGAACGTGATCAATACACACAACCGAAAGAGAGATGGAACAGAACACAACGCGCTTGACAGTGCCTGGTTGAAGCCTCCTTCACCTGGGAGGAGTGAGAGAAGGGGGAGGGGGAGACTAGACTGAAGAATGAATCGAGCGTGAAAGGACCTCCAAAGTGGAACCATGGAACGGAAATCATCTTCCCTCGGACAAAAAAACCGCCACCCAGACGGCGTGACAAATTCACGGCTCCAGTTCACCAAAACATCATTACGGAGCGATAACCTCGGAATCCATGCAACTGACACTCACTCCGCACATGGCTTTCATTCCTTGCGAGAAGGAAGGGCAGGCGGCTGCCGAGGAATGTGACGCTTGTCATTACGAACTTTCCCATGATTCATGCATAAAAACTGAAAGGCTCAAATGCCTTCGGCGTTGTCAATGCCTTCGTTCGTGCCACCTGTTCACGAGGGGTGTCTTGCATGGCAATGGCAGTGGCCATGAGCATGGTCGAATTATTCTTACGCCACTCGAGTGTGATAGTGTTTCGCGGTGATGTACGTCCTTTCGTGGATCGTCATTGGGACGTGGGATCCTCATGTGGCTGCCAGAAACGAACCCGCCCTATATCCGCATTTAACCGGTACGCTTTATGACTTCATAGAAGCTCGTGCGAGTCAGTTCAACTATATTGCCGGTCCTAGCAGATGGACAACGATGGAACACGAGGAGGGCAGCTCAACGGCCCCGAGCATGTAACAAGATAACCTATTCGGAATGATACTTGAGAGTAGGAAGTATTGCGGAATGCGATCGAGATCTCATGTTACCTCAAAGGTATGACGCAAGATCCGCAATGCCCGTCACACACTCGTTCTCAACCCGAGGACCTATATCGAGTCTTCTACATTCACAATGAGACTAATTATGGGAGTTGCAAAAGCTACTTATTAGTATCCCGTGACAGTCTCGGAAGAGGATTAATGAAACTAGCTGTGCTCGGCGTAACGTTGTATGTCCAGAAATCTTGCAATCTCCTCCTACAATGCCTCCAGCAAAATTCTCCCCGTGGATAAGACCCCGATTGCATCGCCGGCCAAGCCCCCTTTACTAGTAATATCGTCGACGAGGGAAGTCTAAAACTCACCCAGGACACCATAGAATGTAATTACAATTCATAGCAACTGATTGGAAATCATTCAGGATATAGCTGCATTCTGGGTATAGCTAGAAACAAGGTTGTCCTATGACTGACGTTAATAAACTCTGCCGCCGCTGAGATTCGATTGTACCTTCCATTCCTGTAAAACTAACCCGTGATGGTCTACAAGTGACCAAATTCCACAGCTCGAAACCAAAGCCCTTGTCGGCTCATCATCATTCTACGGGAGTCTGAGCTTACGGTGCAAGCAAATCTTCGCCTCCATTGACGTGTGTCATAAACGGTAAAGCTCCATTCATCCCGCTCCTATCTCACTTGGCCGTGGACCAAAACGTTGACATTCCGTATTATATCGGTAGACCTACATACACTACTGGGATCTCGTCTCACCTGCATGCTTCCTGGAACAACTGAAGGAGCCAATAGTAGCACATCTGAGAACCTTGAAGACACTGCATTCAATCATGTTACCTTCGCTGTTCAAAAGGCCGCCATTTGATTACTATTTAAGGCTATGGGTGTCTTTCCTGTCACACTGAATTGAAGGTCTCTTAGCTATAAAGGCTGGTAACTTGAGGTCCCCAATTCCTTTGAATATCACTGGAGAAGAGAGGATACCAATGCCACTTCCTGCGCCGCTTTTCAAAGTGGAGGAGCGGATGTGGCGTAAGCATGCCGAATATATTCGTAAACATGCACATAGGGCGATAGCCATCAATGCCCTTTGTGCATGTGACAAGGAAATCCTGTCACCCACAAGTCTCTAACAAGCGTGAGCCGTCAAGGCGGTTTTCCCTTCGATATCACATGCACAAGGTGTAGAGCACAGAGCACACCTTCAAAGCCAACCTCGTTTCTGTCTCTTCTCGTACCGCCACCCACCCCTCCACCTACTCCTGGGAGGTTACTGGGGGAGAGAGAGAGGAAAGAAAACATGGAAGTGAGAAAGAAACGTCGAGAGCCAGCAGTGACGAGGCAAACCTGTGCTCATATGGGATCCCAAGAAACGAAGATGGGGAGGTGAGAGTGGGACGAGAGCTATTTTTGGGCTCCCTGGTTCGTGGTCTTCAAGACCTTATGCCCCACACTCATTGGTTCACTTTAGGCATATCAACTCTCGAAACTCATTTCCTCCCCCTGACAGCAACAAGATGTTGCCCAGGTTGACCAGACTTCACTCAGCAAACAAGGAAAATGAGCCTTCTCATAATATAAACACATGGAAGAAGGGATTGGATGGCTGAGTGCCATGAGAAGTAAGACGAAGCCGGATCGAGAGGAGAGAGAGAAAAAAACGAGTCCTTCTAATTATGAGCACCCACTTCGACGAATGCCTTCAGCCACCATCTCTAGGGTGGGGGAAGTAAGAATGAATCTGGCTCTTTCTAAAGAGATGCTCCATTCGCTATTCATCTCCTCGCGGAGTCCCCATTCGTCTCAACGGATGGCACTGAGCCATTTTTTGCCTTTGAAACCTAGCAGCCTCGGCTCTAACACCCTCTATTCGATGTCACTGCCCCATAATGACTCCCGTCCTTGAAAGGAATTCGGTGCTAACGAGCTATTTGGTTGCGGAATACGATACCGTATGATGAGCGTGCGTTTCAATGAATAGGAAATTGTTCAATGGGGACTGTTAAAAATCGTTAAAAAAAATTACCGATCCCGACAAACGTCATAGAAGTGCTCGTTTTATCAATCGGGCAGTCACGTTGGCATCCGGACGTGATGAAGTCCACGTCATATAAAAATGTTTTCTTTAGTTCCGATCTGAACCTTCCAATGTTCACATAGAATGTGAACTAGGAGGAAACTGAACAGAAGGTGTCAAGATATAAGCATCGTCAGTGGAGGATTACATCGATCAATCATTCCATTCGATTCACAGAGCAGCATCCACCCTTTTCACGAGCCAGATATATCAAGGTCAGAATGTGACCTCGAAATACGTGAGTCTGCACATGGGTGGGGTGCCTTCTGGCTTCTCATAACAACGTGGAATTTAACTGAAATTTCTGCTGATGTATGCTGTATATTGGAAAAAACGATCGAGTTATTTTTCTCTATTTCCGAAGACTTCCCTGTCGCATCGCCCGCGAATTCCTGTCACAAAGATATAAGCATGTGAAATGAAACATGTCACAGTCAGGGCCTCACGTAATAGTGCCCCCCCCCCATTGTACAAGTATCTTAGGAACTCCCAGTCGTACTTGAAACGACTTTCTTGCTACCCTTCCTGAAGGACCACCGCGAATGTACGATTGCCTTGTAAACTGTCCTAATCTTGGCTATAGCCCTCCCATGGAGATGATAGCTCACCGGAGTCGTGCTCATCGGAAATCGAGTTCTTCAGAGGTAAATAGAAGGTGGAGGTTCTTTTCTCAAAGCGTGACTTTCTGGAAATCATGGGGACGAAACTTGTCCGCGATCCACTGTCACCATCACGTACGTGCATGGAGGCGATCGGTGGCACACACGAGTTCGAGATCGAACCACTTCATCCACATAAACGTTGGGCACGCAAATACTTCTTTCTAATCCCCTGTCTCGCAACGTGGGGTTGTCTGTGCACAGTGCAGATGAAACGACGGGCCTGACCTCGCAGGGATGGATAAGCTTTCGAAAGGAACTAGCGCTATCAAAAACCCATGCACGTGAGAGGCGGTGGGGCACGGTTCCACCAACTCCTCCGTCCTCCTCACGTTTCCTCCATCTCGGCTCTCCCTGCATCTATGCAACTCCCCCTCCTCCAAGCAGGGGCGCAGGGAGACCTATCACATTTACAGCAGATACAAACAAATGAGACGCATCGCAGCGCCTTCTGGGCACATCACACTCGCATCTGACAAAAGACGGTGAAAAGAAGCAGCAAGCAGACGGTGACGATGCGAAAGCCACGGACTGCTATAACGAATCTGAAGGGCGGGGCCGTTCAGGTTCATGTGTCAGCAAACTTCCTCCAAGCCGATTGAAAAGAGTGGCCGCATTAAGTATCCATCAAAGGGTTGAGACAAGACATGGTTAGAGAGAACAGTAAGGGACTTCTCCAGGTCCCGTTAGGGAGGGTACATGCAAAGAAGACAAAGACGTCCCACTTTCCTCTTTCAACCAAGACCTTCCTGCTCTGGAGTTTCATTTGATGATTACAACGAAGAAAGGCATCAATCTCAGTCGGGGGTGGTCTAATCACGCGTCTCAGTGTGCAAGGTGAGATGATTGAGAACACCGACACACGATTGCGTGACCTTTTAGAAGTCCTTTAATCAACAGAACGGGGATGAGAGATTAAGGCATCGTGTCACAGCTTCCTATAAAATTTCTCGAGAGCCTCGGATGGTTTCCCACAGGGGATGATTCACGATCTCACCTGCACACGCCCTGAACCACAAATGCAATCGATGTAATTGCCTCATCAAACAGGGAGATGCATAACGAAATGCAATTCACCACAGCGGTCAAATGCGCCGCACGAGACGTGGCCATGTGACCCTGATGCCAATGCCGCACACTTTCCATTTCTCTTCCCCGTAGCGTAGGCCTAATGGGATTCTTTCTCTATCTGAAGCGCCGCGTAAGACGATAGGTTTTCCATGACGAAGTCGTACAATATAATGAGACCACCCTGGATATCGAATCGGAATTCTCATGCATAAAATAGCAGGAGGGGATTCCATCAATTCACGCCAATTAACGACATCGGGTCAAGGTGAAGCGTGAAGATGAAGGGGATAGCATATCCTTTACGTGTGCAGTGGGAGGTTGTGTAATTCTCTCCCTCGACCCCACCTATAAAGCCCAGCCTTCTTTATTGCCACGGTAAGCACAGCGAATGCCGAGGGACGAAGTAGTACACTATGTGACTGCGGGAATGCGAGCTCTGACGGTCCACGTCCTAGCTCCCTTTAATGCTGTCTAACGGCCTATGTTGACAGATTTATGACCTCTTTTCCTCAATCATTCCTGTATCTTGCGCTTTTCTGTTCCGACAGCTATCCCGAGCTTCTGATTCCAAGATGTCTCAACGGAAGGGGAAGGGCAAGGGAGAGGAGACGGAGAGAAGAAAAACTCTTGAGGCGGAATACAAGGGAAGCATGACGACAGGCCGCAGCCGCATTTTTCTCAAGGTTTCCCATTTTATAGTCATTTTAATGGGAATCTTCCGGTCGCGATTCTTCTTTTTTTTTTTGTTTCGAGATGGTTGGAGTATCATTGGATACGGTGTTGGTTGAAATTCAAGGACAACTACATCTTATGAGAGGTCCTTCACAGCACTGAATGCTTGGACGATGGAGCTTCCCCCGCGACAGGTTTCTCTTCCTCCGCAATCACTTCAGGAATCCGCCATCGCATTCCTATGACCTACAAGACGCCCCACACAGCATCGGTCTCACGAATCACAATCCACCAGTGGATCAACACCTGGTGAACAGTGAAATTAGCACAGTCAGTGCACTCAGCAACCGCGCAGTGAAGTGTGTGGAATACCGCAGTCTTAACTTTAGAGAACTCTTAAAAGGGAAGACAAGAAAGTCTCACCAGCAGAAGGGTCTGCACAATCTTCGCGAGGCGCAGAGAAGCATTGGGACAGTTCAGAGAACCTGGCCCTCCTTGACTTTCGGTTCAAGGTCTTATTGGAATACAGCTGGAAACCATCGTCATCTAGAACACTCAAGCTAACTGGAGCTTCTTCGAGAACGTCTCCATTATTGGTATACATGTCTTCAAAAGTCGACACAACCACAATCACATCAATGAAGTCGCCTTCATGAAATCCAGCTTCGCTCCAAGATGAGATGGAAGGCTTCCTCTCAACTGATAAGGATCAACACCGAGCTGAGAAAGTTATTCCCATCCTAGCGTGAAAGATTTTCCCACACTATGATACGGTACCTCTCTAATGACCAAGGCAGGAATTACGAGATGTGAAGAATAACCGCACTCATGGAAGTCCTTACCATCTCTATCCCATAATCTCATCCCCTTACTTTTTCTTAAAGACTTGTTTGAAAATATCGAGGATGGAATCGAAGGGCACGAATTTCCGCATCACAGCTTATGGTTTTAGCGCAAGAACACAATTATCCAAGAAAAGTAGCTTATCGGTCACGAAAAAAGTCTCTACGGCTCGCTAACCGTAGCATTGGAAGAAACCACCAGCCACAGTCATAATGAACCACATATCCAACATCCTCCGTCGACGGAATGTAGACTAATACGAGGCCTCATAAGGAGTGGGCATTGTATACGCCGGAATGCCCTCATGGGTTCTGACGCAGAAAGGGAACAAGACACAAGGAAACCGCAAGCACCAAGCACCAACATCGGCACTAGAGAGGGAGCTCCCGGGGAGGGGAGTTTTTCGGCCATCATAATAGGAACATCCAGTGTTCCGCCTGTGACCCCCTCTCTCCCAGTAACAGGAAACGAGAAAGAGGGACTCCATTTACCGTAAAGGAATTCCGGGCCACCCCTACAGGCTGCAGCATGTTGGGCTACTAACAACTCCCCCACTCTCCGCGGTTCGGGATCCCCAATTTTTTTTTTTTTTTGGCCAAGCGACCACCGGAAGTTCCCCCTCCCCCTCCCTCTACCCTCAGTTCCACGTCGTGAGCGGGGATGGAATTACATGTGAAGACACGCACGAACAAGAAAAGGGCAAGAGAGAAGGCGCGTACGCGAAATCATCCTCTTCGGGAAAGGGCAAAGAAAATACACCCCACGAAAGCAGTCGCCGAAGAAAACGCACGTGGATTGCTGGAAATTCCCAGCAAATCTGAGTAGATTGGCCGTTTATCTCTTCAATTTCGCAATAACTAGTGAAAGCGGAATGCAACGGAAAGCGCGGGCAGGAGCAGGTGGCAATAATAATGGAGCGTGCATGATACGAAGCGATAATCACAAGGTACAAACCTCGACAAGAGGAAGAAAGGGTAAGTTGAGCACATGCAAGTGTCACCGGCCTGGCAGGTCTTATGACACATTCTGCGCCATGATCATCATTGACTTCTATACATGAAGAAAAAGAGCGCCGAAAGGGTCGGCATATCTTCCATCGAGGAAACGTATGTGCCACTTCCTCTCGGTTTCCCATTTCAGCCCCTTCCTCCTCCATGTTTCCTTTCCGGTGTGAAAGATGATACGATTTTGTACACTCGGGTTTCTCGAATCCTTCTTTCGGGCAAGGAAAGATAGACACGTCGGCTTCTTTTGGTCCTAGGTTATCACCGTGAAATTCCAGTCAAGTATCCATAAATGTATTGAATAGTTTTACATTGGATCCAGCACCATCTACCCAGAAAGCCCATAACTAACAGTTTCCCGAGGGCTACCGCAAGAGAGCAGGAGTCCACGAAATGGTAAGCAATCTAGTTATCTGGGACGCACGGCTAAGACAAAAGATCACTATCACTTGTAAACACATATAGTTTTATCCCTTAAGGAGCAATATACCACGAGTCCTTCTCATGGTTCTTGTACCTTGTCGGTACCTGAGAATGGGGCGTTACTACCTACGCGATAACCATCAGATTTCTCTACTGGGCGAGTGAGGAAAGAAGACGACATGCGATGGAATCTTTCAGCAGGATGCGCATACTGCAAAACGACCCTCTTCTCAGCAACAGACTCAATATCAGGATAGTACAAGGCAGAATCAAGCTGCACCCGGTTCCGCGTTCCTTTCGGCTTCAAAGCGTCTCCGTTTCATCCTCACTCATCCATTAGGGTCATCTGTTGGAACTCATTTCTGCAGAGCCCCATTAACAATGGTTCGAACAAAAAAAAAAGCCTAATCATGGCCTCATTTGGGAAGCATATGGAATAACATTTTGCGGAGACTTCATTCCATGCATCTCAAGTGCTATTATTAAATTCACTTCCTTTCACTCTAAGTGTACCAGGTTAATACAGATATTCATATGGCTCAAGGAACTCAAACCATGAGTACAATGCACCTCGAGGGGAATTTTAATCTGCTCTACCCATTTGCGTTCTATTAGCTCTCTCTGAAGAGTCCCCCGCTGAGTCCAAACCCTAATCTACGGAAATAACTTTCCCCCCCAGCAAGTTCATTCTTAATGACCACTCGTGACAGGTATTGGAAGTACATAATGCTTAGAGATCCCGGCAGATACATAAGCAAGCAGAGAGAAATCAAAATAGGGGAGGGGCGAACTTCGGAAATGGGCCATAATTTTGAAGTTTAATTCACCCCCCGTATAGAAACGTACGACATGGATCACGTAGAAGTTTATCTTCTGATCACGTTTTGGCATGCCGCCGTCCCTTCCGAGGGGAGTAAAGATGGCTGTCAAATTTCGAAATGGCCGCTGCCAGCTTAAAAATTGAAATTAATGACAAATCCATGGTCATATGACGATGCATTTGGTGCTTGAAAAAGGACATTCAGGGTCACAGAGTTCAGTTCTAAACAAACTTTCAACGAGTACCACGATCCAATATGGCTACCAAAGTTTTAAATTGATGCCATCAAGAAATTCACCTATCAATAAACACCTCCCACTGAATCCTTCATCTCCACTTGTAGCAAATAGACGTGGTCAGACATAAATGTACGTGAATACTTTCTCTGACAATTGTAGGTGGTTTAGCATTCTTAATCTACTACCTAAAATGTACACATGCATCAAAAGAACCTCAATATTTGTCTTTAAATCAATTTCTGCAATATTAAAATACATGTATTTATTCTTCTGGAATTTGTCATGCTCTTACCATATCATCTTTTGATCTGTTATAAGTACTTATCGGAACCACACGAAGCCAACTAATCACTGATCCATGAACAAATGTAATAAACTGCATCAATGAAATCTTGTGGACCAACTCAACCTACAGGGTCCATGCCTGCAGTCATCTTGCTTTCTCTTTATAGTTTTCAACCTAAACCTTCTCATTCACAAATAATGCTGAAACAGTTTCATTTCCCTGCGTACCTCGCCAATTGTCAGTACTTAGCCTCCAGTGTGAAACAGAGCCTCCATTTCGAAAACGGCAACCAACCTGACTTAGCACACTCGGAAGGGACGATGACAGGCTAAAACGTCATCAATAGACGAAGAACCTCTGTCAGTGGTCGGCAACTGGCGGCCCGCGGAAGCCCTCCCTCTGGCCCGCGAACACCCGGATATCGAACATTACGATCCGACTATAGACGTTCAGTAAAATTGTCATTTTAGTGACACTTAGTAGGCGCTGGCTCGCGAACGTTCAGCATTCTGTCATCCGGCCCGCCGTGAAATTTAGTTGCCGACCTCTACGTGATGGATGTTGTACATTTCTGTATAAGGGTGATTTAAATGTTTAAAAAATCTGATCTGCTGCTCTCCAAAAAGTAGCTTTTTTGCCCATTTGGGCTAAAGTTAGTCGGCACTGTAAACTAAGTAGACTATATGAAAAGCGCTATCTCCATCTATGCATATACGAACATAGGGCATTAACCCTCCCTCGGTCGCTGGTGTGCCCCATTGGGGCGTGTAAAAGAAATCCTACGATTACACCAATTTACAAATACCCAACCCATAAATTAATTCACGAGACACTTGCATTGAAACATAGAATCCATCCAGGTTTATCACAAAATTGTAACTATAGCAACTAATACGGTAACTAATAGTGGCTGTAAAATGTAGCAAAAAAATTATAATAATTCGATACTGAGAGGGTTCAACACTAAATGGCATAATTTGAGGGACCGGAAGTTTCGCCTATTCTTGGCTCAAACACCTATCAGGCTCTGAGTCACAGCACCGAAACATCTTTGAGAGTTATTAGTCAAAGCATGGGCATTAGTCCATGATTTTGATCCTTTGGTACGTCCTCTTTGTTCTGGTTCATACAGTACCACGACTGAAAAGTCTCGATGAAAACTTACGGTATCCGATTGGGTTAGACGTCCTCACGATGGGCAGCAGCCCCATTATCTACCGATGTCACGTTCAAAAGCGAAGGTCTTCCTTATTTCTAATTATGAGAGAATCGACAAAGGGAATGAAGAAAGAACTGCAATTTCCTGGGCTAGTCACACAGCCCGATACACTAGTTGGCCACAAAGCGAGCGTGAACTAAATGCAAGTCAAATGACGGACTTCCCAGACAAAGGATGCTCAACTGCTTCCCTTAGTGATAGAGGGGAAGAACATCCGGTCAGCAACGCGCACGACGCGGAGTACTCGTCACTGATACCAGAAACGCTGAGACTTACTCCATCATCTCCTCGAACCGGAATGCCGATTCGAGCACATCGACGCGTGCAAGTTTGGCTTATGTGCAACCTAGGGGAAAGGAGGAATTCGGGGAAAAGAAAACTATAATCGGCCGTTCGTTACGGAGCGAGAGAGAGGGAAAGAGCGCACGCAAGAGGGAGATATGAGAAGCAGAACATCCCAAGGGAGACCCCTGGATAGGATTGATAGAACCTTTGGCCCATGTCAGCGGAAGAGACCCGATAGTGTCAGGTGCATTTTAGTCAGGGACAGAAGAAAAGTCACGCTATGCATCAGGAAGCTTCTTATCAGGTTCCGGCTACCCCAATCCCTCGTCACTCGCCTTTCGTTTCACCTGCGGGAAAATTTCGAGGGCAATTGCGGAATTCCCGGGCATGGAACGCATTCTAACACGGAATCCCTCATATGAATGGCGAGAATACAGAGCATTCGGCGGGATGGATAAGGCTTCTTAATGATATATTCCACTCATGCCAGATTCCCTCATCGCTCACTCGGGCGCTTCGAGGGACAGACCTTGACCGTTAAAACAAACTTAGAAGGGCAAGTCAATCAACCTGCCAAAGAAGAGCACCATCCCAGCAACCACCAGAAAAATCCGATTCAACACGCTTTTCCACTTGACACCGGGGGGTTCCAAGCTCACCTCCTCCACGTTTAAAACTGATATGACAAGCCGGACGGCTATGATGACGATGATGATGCCTCCAGGAGAGAAGCAAGAAATTCAGACTCGAGAGTACAAGTACCCGCAGGTGACGTACCCCTGAATTCCAGATTGTATTTAATTCTAAGCCCGCGGTGCCGGATCTCCAATTTCCTCCTCCTCCCTCAGTAAATGTTTAGCCTTATAATCAACCTATGATAATCCACTATCGCCTACCCTACCTTATTGATCGCCTACTAATCAACATCTACCCTACTTTGCTTAATCGAGAGGAAA